CATCTCTAACTAGTAATTACCCCATAAATTTTAGACCGCAGCAACTTTGTCCTCCACCAATTGCTCCGTTCCGTCAGCTTAATTTTCCACCTCCGGCTCTTCCTTTTTTATAAGTAGCGATGAGCGGAACCTACATATTAGGAATACGCTCAGTATTGTCTCTCTCAACGCAAGATCTGTCGTACAAAAGATGGCACACCTAAGAAGTGTAGCTGTTGAGTTTGACACAGACGTATTGTGCATTACTGAATCTTGGGCCCACTCTCTAATTTCAGATTCGGTACTTAACATAGATAGCCTTAGTTTATACCGCCAGGACCGTGCCGACAGACGCGGCGGTGGATGCCTTCTTTACATAAGATCCTCACTTGCACAATCGCCTTATAACTTAATCATTTCCTCCTTCTCTGGAAATTTATGTTTTGCTTCGGTAATCCTTCCTCAAAATAGGAAAGCCTTAGTCGGATGTGTATATAATCCTCCTTGTTCCTGCGGTAATGAAAGCCAACTTTGCGAACTCTTTGAAAAAATTTCAGAAACTTCTTTCGACGTCAAGATAATCGTAGGCGATTTTAATTTGCCAGAAATTGACTGGCACACACATACTTCTCCTCCTAAATTCCAGAAGCTGCTTGACACAATTTACTTTTCAAACCTGACTCAATTAGTTCACTCTTCGACCAGAAACGATAGTGTTTTAGACTTAATTTTTACTAATGGCACCTTCCCTTTATCTATGGATTTTTATCATGACCTCTTTGCAAGTGATCATGCATTAATTCATTGTCGCCTTCCAGTTGCCATTTCCGCAAAGCCAACAGTTCAACGTAGTATTTTTGACTTTGCTAATGTTAATAAGGATTTACTAAATAACTTTACCTGCACTCTTGATTGGCACAATATTTTTTCAAATAATGATCTAAATTTTTTCAACACTTTATTACAATGCCTAACAGAAAGTCTTCTTGACCTTATTCCTCGGAAGATGTTCAAACCGAGTGCTAATTCCACCGCTATCCCACACTTTCTTCAAAACAGACTTAAAAAGTTACGGAAGCAGTTTAAAGATCCTTCTGTGAGTTCATTATCAGTTCATCTAGGAATCGTTGAAATATTTGAACTAGCTTCGAAAATAAGGCTCGAGCGAGATAGGCGTAGAGAGTCTTTGGCTATTAATGATGTGAATGCTTCTAAATCAGTTGCTCAGATCTTCCGTCAGAGATCATCTGCTAAGTCCCACCAAGTCATTCCGCCCTTGCTTAGTGCAAGTGATGCCTTCATTACAGAAGAGTCAGGCAAAGCAGAAATTTTAAATTCGTTCTTTGCCAAGCATTTCACCATTGAAACTGATCCGATCCCTTTAATTCCTTCGTTGTCTGATGCTTCTCTTAGCTTCATTAATTTTTCTCCTGAATGTATTCAAAAACTGATAAGTCATCTTCCTAACTCTCACTCAGTAGGTACGGACAATATCCCAAACTCTTTGATAAAACAACTAAGAGATTTTCCTCCTCTGCTTAGCAAAATCTTTTCAGTATTTCTCGTAAATGGCTTCTTCCCTGACTATTGGAAAACTTCTATTATTATTCCAGTATTTAAGTCTGGCTGTCGTTCTGACGTACAGAACTATCGAGGTGTCCATAAAACACCCTCTCTCGCCAAAATCTTTGAAAAAATTATCGCCATAAAAATTACCGAATTTTGCATAGCCAATCAAGTTATTAGCCCTTCCCAACATGGTTTTTTACCAGATCGCTCTTGTGAAACATGTCATCTGTCGTTTCTCGATCTACTTACCTCTCTTCGTAATGATCACCTATCTGTTGTCGTAATTTATTTTGATCTTAGTAAAGCCTTTGATAAAGTGCCACATAAAAGACTCTTGGTTAAATTGGAAGCTATGGGAATTCGCAGTCCACTAATAGACTTTCTCAGGTCATACCTGTCTAATCGTAAACAAAAGGTTTTGGTGGGATCTTCACTTTCCAGTGAAAGTCCTATTGTGAGCGGTGTTCTACAAGGTACTGTTTTAGGTCCTCTTTTGTTCTTGCTTTACATAAATGATATTTCAGCAGCAGTTAAACATTCTCAATCATTTATTTATGCCGATGATCTCAAATGTGTATATTCTTTTAAAAAATCTACGAGCCTTCATTGCCTGGAGCAAATCCATGCTGACTTGCTTGCTCTCTCAGCTTGGAGCTCAAAATGGCTAATGGAATTCTCTCCGTCTAAATGTCGTTATATGTGTTTTGGACCTGATAGGCTACCCCAACCTGTGGTCTTTCAAGGAACACCTATGACTGAATGTACCACCATCAAGGATTTAGGTTTAAGCTACACTAGTAATCTTGAGCTCTCGCCGCACGCTGACAGAATTACAGTCAAAGCTGCTCAGATTTGTGGCTTTATTTCTTACAATTTCTATCTTCCTGAAATTAAATTAAGGCTCTATCGTATGTTTGTACTTCCCATTCTCGAGTATTGTTGCCCATTCTTTGGTTTGATGAATGAAGCCAGTCGTTTAAAAATTGAAAATGTCCAAAGACGTTTTTCAAAAAAACTTTTAGATAGGGAACATCCCAATATCTCCTACTCAGATAGATGCCAACTAACTAACCTAAAATTTTTATGGGTTCGAAGACTAGAAGCGGGCTTCTGTCTCCTCTTTCGCATTAATCATAGTTCAAATTTTCCTCGGATTTCAGCACTTACCCCTAGTAGTCGCCCATACAATCTTCGCAATTCGTCTCTAATTATACCTCTTCCAGCGTCCTCCACCTCTAAGCGCTCCCTTTTTTTCGCTTCCAGGTATACTTTCCTCTGGAATAACCTTCCAATAAATATAAGATCTTCAGAAAATCTACACACCTTTAAGAGAAGCCTACGCCTTTATCTGAATACTGACTCGATTAAACTTTTATTTTCCTCATCCTTCCCAGACAACTTTTCCTATGACACTGAGAAAGGGCCACCGAGAATTTAGCATGCCGCTATTAAATTTCCGTATCTGTTCACGTTTCTTTATGAGTAGTCTCGCTACCTAAGATCCGTCACCAGAAATGTTAATTATTCCAATTTTTTAGTTCATGCATCGTGCCCTCACAGAATGCACGCCATCGACGCTCTTGGCGAAACCTTCTGTATTCGCCATATACTAGTAGTTTGGTCGCATCTCCCTTCCCCCATCCTCGGTTGGACTCGGATGAATGTAATCGACCGCATCTGGGTTCCTATCGCCTCGAGACTGATCTTCATGATGCCCTCACTGAATGCGCTTCATCGATGCTCTTGGCGAAGCCTTCTATATTAGCCATATACTAGTAATCTGGTCGCATCTCATTTGCCCTATCCTCGGATGGACTCTGATGAATGTAACAGACCGCATCTGGGGCCTTTTTGCCTCGAGACTGGTTGTCATCGTGCCCTTACAGAATGCGCTCCATCGGCGATCTTGACAAAGCCTTCTGTATTCGCAATATACTAGTAGTTTGGTCGCATCTCCCTTCCCCCCATGTTCGGATGGACTCGGTTGAATGAAACCGACCGCATCTGGGTTCTTGTCGCCTCGAGACTGGTTGTCATCATGCCCTTACAGAATGCGCTCCATCGGCGGTCTTGTCAAAGCCTTCTATATTCGCCATATACTAGTAGTCTGGTCGCATCTCCCCCCATGTTCGGATGGACTCGGTTGAATGAAACTGACCGCATCTGGGTTCCTATCGGCTTGAGACTGGTTTTCAATTTCGGCACTTATTTATCTTATTCAAGGCGATACAGGCCAGTCCTGACCGACCCGCCTACGTACCATTTTATGAAATCCGTTACACAATGCCATATACAGCTGACATCTATTTCGGCCATGTTGATGTCGGGCTTTATTCCATTTTGTACCGCCACATGCAGGCCAGTCCTCCCTTTTTTTCTGATGCTATTTTTCTGAGGGGTTTTTTTTCTCCTGTTAAATTACTACAATCATTTTTAAATCTTGCTTTGGAGTTTTTTTTTCACCCCTCGTTTTTTTTTCATTTTCATTTTGCTTAACGGACTTCTAATCTCAAAAACTATGCATTGCACTTTGTGCAGATTTTGCCTACATCGTCTAAAATTTGCATGTAAATTTATTTTTACTTGCTTTGATGGGACCCCGACGGGTCTTTAATAAAATAATTGAATTGAATTGAATTGATTTGTTAGGCGTGGGTGAAATATTTATCTGGTCAAAACCGGCATTCAACACGGTACTGATAAACTGCTGTTAGTTAATTAACACTTGTGCATTATAACGCATTGCCTTCTACGTCAGTTTGCGCATCCCACCTCTTCCTTTTGAGATTTTCTTAATTGTCCTAATTACCTCCATTTCCACCTACTCCTTAGATTTTTCTCTGTGGGCTGTATTATGTCACCATAAATCAAATCTATGTTCCAGTTTTTGGCAGTAGGGTATTCAAGGACGACTTAAGTGTTGAACATTATGGAAAGGGAGGATAAGTAGCTGATGTCTGCGAAATGGCGAAACACGGCAGTCCTTGTCCGCATGTATAGGTCACTGGGAAAGAGCTGCGGATCTATATCCAAAGCATCTTTTCTACACTGTCCACACGACAATACTAAGGGTCCCCTTCTGTCTGATAAAGACTTCCTTTCGGAGATCGAAGAAATTTCAATAACGAATTCTGACCTAATTGAGTCCAGTTAAGCCCCAAACGATGCATTAGAGTATGCAGCTACCATATTTGTCCGTTTCGGCATATCCCTGATACGAGTATGCATGTATACTATCTAACAGACAAACTTTCAGGATCTTTACTTTATATTTGGATCGATTTTCAGTTTCGGCATCTGGCCCCATAGCTACCGTCACGTGAATTCTGTTCGTCACCCAACTAAAAGTATGACGGCTGGTATTTCAATAAATGTTGACCACAAGATATGAACGGAAAGTAGTTTTAACAAACTTTTTATTTACCAAGACCAACACCTCAATTGGTGGTACATTACAGACCCAGAGCCACAGAAATTTGTTTGAGCCAATGATGAACTGACTTAAGTTTGGTGATGACCGCGCAGTCCTCGAATGGGTTAGCTGCTGAGGCCTCAATCACTCCGTAAAAGAACCAAGTGGTGCCATCCTGGGAAGAACAGAACAGTCCACCGCCACTGTCGCCACTACCTGGGGTCTAAAACAGATAAAACAAGTAGGCGGGAGTGTGAATACGACAACGTTGCTGTATCAACAGAACTTAAATAACCATAACTTGAATGTCGAACATCCTAACGGTATTTTTTAGAGAAGCGGGATCACTATCTTTCACCCAGTTTCCAAACGCAACTATTCTAAACAGGAAATTTTGGACAGAAAGTCCAAGACCAGGGACTTTGTTTACATCATCAGACGACACACCATCTGAATTATTTGGCTTCTGACGAAGTGTTCAGCTTTCTTATAGCCATGGGCAGGGATGCACAAGGGTTGGAATGTGCGATGTCATATGGGCTCAATAAATGTTAGCCGCATTCTTACTCCATGTTCAGTGAAAATACTCACATTCCCAGCCAAAGGTCTAAGGACATCGAGGAATACAGTAAGTAGTCACTGTACCAAATAAGTAGTTGGTGTAGTTTTACTAATATACAATAAGCAGATTGAAAACCCTAAATGCAAGTGTAAGGACAGATCAGGTTAAAGAAATATTCAGGAATTGTAAAAGTTGTTAAAAACCAAATTATATCCTCCCCTCAGGTATACAAGTTGAAGGCAACGTAATTTTCTTCCATATGATTAAAACGGTAAACATTTTTATGCATGTTTTCCCTGAAATATAGTTAAATTTATGAGGGCGCAAAAAATAAATAAGAAAAGTTCATACTATGCAAGCAGTTATTTTTTGCAGATCATTGTTTTAACTGGCGGCTAAAAAGAAGATCATACAAAAGCCGGCATCCTGATGTAAATGGATTGTCTAAGGATGACGCTGCACGCTGCTAAGGCGATCTTTTCGAGTCGAAACCGCATTTCAGGATTTAGGTTTGCATTTTGTGCGTTAGCACATACACTGTATCTTAATCATAACTAAAATGTCAAAAATCCTGATGGTATTCATTGGAGGAGAGGGATTATTATCATTCATTTAATTTATAAAATCAAAAATCCGGAACATGAAGCGTTGACCGGAAAGCATAGGATTAGTGGTTTTATTTATATCATAATACAAAATGCCAATCGAGCCATTCAGTCTTCGAAAAATTGACCAGCTTTCCACAATACCATGGGCGGTGATGTAAAAGAGTTGAGATATGTGATAGAATGTGGTCTCAGTAACCGGCAGCCATACTCGTTTTCTATGTCCGATTAAACAACTCACATCTACAGCCAGAAATTTAGACGTTGCGAAATGCGTAAATAGTCAGTGTAGCCGCTTAGTACAACTTAGTGCAACATTCTACAAGTCAATGGAACCAGATTTCCGAGCCGCAGGGTTTACCACCTAAAGGACTTGGGTGGGTGGCTCACAGCTTCACTGAAAAAGTCTTTTATACGTTTGTGTGGCATCAGTTAGAGATCGCTTTTCAAGCGTGGAAACCCTGGATAGTTAAGGACCACAGCACCCAAGTCTAATCTCAGGCAACATGATTACCAGCTTACAGAGGGTCGTTCGCCAATGGAACACTTTGCCGGCGTATGCTGTTATTTCCCATGCCATGAGTGTGTTCAAGGGACAACGGGATGCTCATCTTCTGAAAGGCAACCCGAACTGCCGAAGCCTGATCTAGAGGATTACGGAAATGACTATAAATATACTACTAACATGATTTCAAGAGATCCTTTTTGTTCGTAAAACTTGACCCATGTGGAAAGTTTCACAGTTTTTCGCAAATAACATACCCTTTTCCCATTTATGTTCCATTATTAGATTTATGCATTCTCCTCACTAAAACTGCAATTTAACTATTTTCTCTTATATCTGTTCCGTCTACATGGAGTTTTCAGGACTTCTGTCGTTTACTCCAAATATACCGACTGATACTGACTGATCCTTGAGAAAATTCAATGGCGGACAAGTAAACCCGTCAGTGGACAGAGTTCACTACCCTAAGAAACACGGTTATCAAATCTCGGAATTTTTCCTCAGAGTTACATACTAAAATTCCGTATCATGGGCAGTCAGGACTGCAGTCTTTTATCTGCAGACTTCTTTCAGTTAGCGACTACAACGAACCCCTGTGGTCATCCACTTATACTACGTGTGACTGGGGTCGGGTTAGACACATGGAAGTTCTTTTCCGACGGAGTGGTCGAGGCTTGGAATGCTCTGCCTGCAGACATTGTCATATCCACCTCCGTCAAGGCCTATAAGCAAAAGTAGGACCAGTATGCCACCAAACATCATAATGTTACGAGACCGATATCGTCTTGGCATTTCGTTCTAACAATCTATCTTTATTACTGTTTCTATTTCAGTAACAATTGTTCTTAATTTACGTATTGCCCCAAGTCAGCTGCACGCGAGTATTTGCATTCACTTCGTCTCTATCAGGCAACTGAGGTAGTACAAATTTACTACAGCACATTTACGCGTAGATTGGCTTCTGTACGGCGCATTTAGTAGTGCTAATTTTTTAACACTTGAATAATTTGCTTACCTCTCCGGTTTCGCAACAAATTTTGTAACTGTTTGATGTTCCGACTTTCACATTTTTTACATAATTCGCCTCCTTATAACAAATTGGGATTTTAAAGAGTCAGCACCTACGTTTCCCCCACATAAACTGGACTGTAATTTTTGCTTATGAACAAATAACGAATTCGATCGGCGTTAGCTTCGCTATGGTGCTTACCCTGCCGTATGTTTGTATACATGAATTACTATCGGCGTATTGGGTGCCATAGACTTCCTTGCAGTGTTCATCGGATTCGATTTGAACTTCGGCGTCCCTGAGCGTTTTCGGATAAAATTCTTCTCCATTAGACCATTCAGGAAACACACCTCCCCAGCCGGCGTAGAAGCAGGTGTAGCCTCGCTTCAGCTCAACATGCTTTGCAGGGAAACAAATCGGCCGCACTTTGTCGGCTTGACAGAAGAAAAAAACATTCAGATGAGCAAACACAGTCTAGAACCCCGCATTCGCCAAGGAGGAAGGCAAATTAGCGAACTAGAAGGTTATGACAAACGTCAGGAAGACATGAGAGCTGATGATAAGTTAATCATGAAAGAAGATGGCTGCGGTTCGATATTGGATTAGAAAACATATTTATATATAGCGAAATCGGCTGATTTGTAGTATGTGCGCCGCAGTCAAAAATATATTTGGCAACGTTGTTTACTCAGGAGTATAATAACGTACTTGGAATAATTGGATCGAAGAGCTTTAATACCGCGATGTCGTAGCCCTCTCCAGCCGTGGTTACGTTGTGCCTTGGATGCAGGACCGCATACTGCACGCGTCGTAGCTCCTGGGATACGCCAGGCTGTGTGAAATCATGACCACCGACTAACGCATAAAGCGGAGAAACCGATGTAATTGTCATGTCAATAAGTCCTTCAAACGGAGTGTTCCTGCAACCAATGGCATCGTCAACACAGTGTGCTGCGGTCAGAATGAGGGAGGGATTGATTAGTGTTCCCCCGCAGTAGGGCCGATCTCCTATTCTTTCTGACCACAGGCCAACCTCGAAAGAAGCAATACATGTTCGACATTTAAATTACTATCCTCAAGCACGATCTTTTGCTCAATATTTATATTTGGATGTTTATCTGTACTAAAATATTGACAGACAGGTATTGTTTAGTTATACTTGCATCTTATTTTTGAACACAGTCAATGTAAATAAATAAACTATACGTATGGTCTACAAACCTAATGAGGGACGATTTCTTGATGCTGTCAATATATTATTGACGGTAGTTTGATTAGTTAACTATGAAAGCAATACCAAACGCCCACTCACATGCCAAGGCCAGCTGTGAGGCGTTGCGCGTGTTTTTCTTTTCGTGGACTCCTTTTTATATTGCCGTTTGACGGCAGGAACTCCACAGACAGTCGGAAAACCGGGCTCAATGTCGAATGCTTTCACTGGTCACCAGAAGAAAGGAATTTATGTACACTCACATGCATTTAAATGTAAATTTAGGAACTTTAAGTACATTTAGACACTGGGCCGATGCAGATGAAACGAAAGGTATATGCATTTCTATGTGCATGTATAGAAATACAGCTGATGATTTCCTTTCCCTAGTTTGGTTTTTCTCGAACTCTTTAACAGTGAGTGGCCTTGAAATTTTTTTCCAAAGCGAGAAGGCTAGTTGGCATTAGGCTCGTTACCAAGCCCATGTGGCGTAATGCATTAATTAAGAAAACACCTCCTTAGCCTATTTAAATTAAGACTGATTCTTACACACTCACATGCCATACGAACCTAATATTCATGTTTTTACACCATTTAAAATAACGAGAAGACGACCATGGACCATCTTCGAGCCTGAATTACGCGTTCCGTCAGTCGTTGGCCAATCATCTTGGCGCTTTTGGCTGATTGGCTGCTTGCGGACAATGTACGGGAGTGCGTATGCACATCGCGTCCGCAAAGGGTTGAGAATCGTCATAACTGTAGTTTGCCGTCCGAGAACACTTCCTGTCTTTGTCTACTGGACTCCCTATATGCTCTCTGGATGCAGAGAAGCCTGTCTAGCAGTCCTCTCTTGCCTGAGTCATTTTTGGAAAATCTCGGGGTGTTAAATATCCTACCTAGGCAGTCCCGTTAGTCTGCCACTTTACGGCATGTCGTGTCTTCATCGCCCAATACCCGAATGGTCGCGTAACTCGAATGCGAAGGCCAGTCATGTACAGTTAAAGCCCACATTTCTTCACAACTAACGGACAAGTAAGCACCAGGTAGAGTTGTTATCACATAAAACATTTGACGAAACTGTGAAATATGTTTGTGATTTGAAAAGATCGCTTAATGGAAGCTGTAATGTTATAATTCGGCAAAATGCAAGACATTTCAGTCACGACAAGATATTTACTCTTAAATGAGCCTCCCTACTGCAGTCTTCAAAGTTTCTCACATTAAACATAGCCTGTAAAAGTGTGAATTCTTCTTATTTATTTTTGAGGTCTCTAAAAATCTAAATACATTGTATAGAAAGACATAACAATTTGTTTTCTCCTCCCTCTTTTTAACGAATTGTGTTTTTCCAAATTTTATACTTAAAGACATATAATCATTTGGCTCCAAAACGCTTCTAACTGTTTTAAGAAATTCATGTAATTCTTTGATAAAATATATACAGCATGCAGTTTGTAAGTCAAGGATGCAAGTATAGAGGTGTGTGTTTTTAAAAAAGCTAAAACACTTTTTCCTCAAGTAACAAGATTGAAGAAGACCCGATTTGCCGTTAAATGAGCGCAAACAAAAATATTTCTCTTTAGCATGTAGATAAAACATATTGACATCTACGAAAGCATCCGCAATCGATTAAAAGAATTCAAGCTAATGAATATAGCACTTTTGGCAAGATGTAGATTTAGAGAAGGGCACGATATTATTCACGTAAAAACCGCTACTCTGTTGTAACTAAAATGTCCTAGACTTATGCTGCAGGATAATCGAAACTGCAATCCTACCAAAGCGATCATTTCAAATCGGCAGCATATTTCAGAATTCAGTTAACATTTCATGTGATAGCACATCCGCCGTATGTTTGACAGTTACACACGAAATGTATTCTTGTTCAGACGTAGACTAATGTACGCATCTTAGGCAATGACCATCCCGACTTCTACAAGCACGTGCATTATGCCGGAATCGACTAAGTTTTGAAGTTGAGTAGGTGTTTCTAATGAAAGTTGTATTCTCTAGCTAGCCAAAAAGATGTATTAGACACTGTCTGAATTCTAAGGTCTCACAAATGTGGTTAATTTTGGCCTTCCCAGTCGGACTCGGAAAAGTGCGGTCGCTGCTGGAGCATAAAAAGGAAGTGTCAAATTATAACACACAGAAATACACAGACCATTTGTAGTGATGACAAGTAAGATGCAGAAAATCACTACAGAAAGGCAGAGCTTCATATCCGAATGTTGGTAAAACGATGCGTTTTCTGAGGTGTCATGTCTGTTTTCCACTTAAAAGGTTCTCAGGTTGCCCATCCAATCCAGCCTCCAATAAAAAGCCAAAAGACGGTAGTTGGAATGTTGTTTAAACTGTTAGCGCTTAGCCAACCAGATGTTAAACCGAGAGCAGGCTTCGAATTTGCGCAGAACCCTCTAACCAGAACATTTCATTTCCTCATTTTCGATGCGACAATCAGCCTGAATGCAGTCATCTTCCGAAGAGGGCAGAGGGGAACACCTGTTTTGAAAAAAAGATTTAACTATCTACGCAGGTGTTTTTCTCAAACATCGACTCTCTGTGGTAATTGTACCTCAAAAACAATAGGATACCCGACAGAGATCCATTTACAACGATCCACGTGCATGTCTACCATGACTGAGTTCACATGTAACGTACTCCATGACGGTGCGAAAAAAATCAAGCAAAAAATACTTGTTCAGTAATTAATTCTAATGCGTAGTGCTGCCTATACGCAACCTTCGCAGTTGGGCGGAACTGAGGTGAAACACAACAATTTATTTCATTTTAATAAAACCAAATACTCAAAAGGAATTCATTCTTTGATCATAAGCTGGTCCTGACTTAATCATGACGTATTCTGTTAATGTGGACGAATGAAGCAAATCCATCAACAGTTACCTTTCCCCGTCTCTGAGTAATGAAAGTAGATTTCAAACTAAGCTGTTCGCATTGTAATAGTAGTTTCTATCCAAATTACAATTTTATATCTGGAAAAATAGTGGAATAAAATGCAACGAGAGTTTAAGGTACCATAAATATAGTACATTTTGGTTTTTTGTTGCGGGACCAAGAAAAAGTTTCGTTTCCATAACGCGTATTGACGAAAATGACAAAATATCATATTTACGTTCAGCCCATAGAAGTGCACAGACCATATACCGTGGCCAGAAGAAAGGTGGAGACACTTACTACAGCAAGGCAGACCCTCATATCCGAATGTTGGGGAAACGATGCGTATTCTCATTTGTTATGTCTAATTTTCGCTTATAAAGTTCACGATTCTCCCATCGAATCGAGCGTTTAGTAAAAAAATAAAAAAGTCGGTTGCCTGGACGCGTTTTTGACCTTCGGCCTCTAGCCAACCATATTTTACGTCAAAGCCAGTCTACGAATCGTGAGAAAGCCTTCTAGTTAGTCCATTTCAAACATTCACGCTAGGTATGGAAATTTGCCTTCGGACAGTCAAATTATGCTGCAGACAGGGGCGACTGTCCTTTAAAAAACAGATTTTACCCTTCACGGATGCCTTCACTTCGAACAGCGACTACCTGTATAAATCCCACCTCAAAAACAATAAAATACTCGACAGCGATCCATTTACGCTGATTCAGCTGCATGTTTACTATGCTTAAGTTCTCATTTCACGCACTCTGCGACTGTGTGGAAAAAACCCAAAGCAAAAAAATCCTTCAGCACTTAATCAAATGCCTATTGTTTTCTGCAAGCAACTTACGCAGCTGTGTGAGGCAGCGACTAGAGACGATGATTTTATTTTTTTTACAAATTCCAAAAGCCTAAAAGTAGTTCTTTCGGTGATCATAGGCTTGTGCTGACTAAAAAATTTGCGACAGTTGTAATCCTGTTCAGTTGCTGTTTGATGGATAAGAAGGTGGCTTGAACGAAGTCACCTCTGAGTTGTTCGTGCCAGAGACGCCATAAAATGTTGCGATAGAACCTGAGTTTATTAGCAGACGGTGCGCTAACTGTGGGTCATGTGTCTGTGTTTGAATTTGCACTTTTAACATAACACTAAATTTGAAATGAAGCGATGTCGTAAGACGTGAGTGGATGTAACGCGCTACCTTATCCAGTTTTATCAGGCGCGAACAAGCGGCAAATACCAGCATGTTCCATTGACATGCATAAACTGAAAATATATTAAAAATAATGATAGTCTGACTTTAAGAACCAGAATGCAAATACAGACAGTGCATGTGGAAGTATGCGTTTGATGAGAATCATACATTTTTATCTGATTTCGCATTTCCAGCAAAGTACCGGATTTGAGAATTGCGGTGTGGTCAAACACGAGTGGGCTTTAAAGGACTCTCATAAATCTCGTTTATTTCCTCAGTTTCATAAAAAGCGGACATGTGGTAAAAGCCGATATGTTTTGCTAAATATCTGAGGAAGTAAGACGGATTACACCCAGTGGATGTTTTATTATCACTTTAAATCCATACCGAGTTGGGTATGTTAGCAGCTGAAGAAAAATACGTTCAGATCCGTAACCTTCTTGTGCCAAACATATTGTGGCACTGTGTTGTTCAAAAATTAATTTTGCAACCGCGTTTAAACAATGTTCATCATCTGGTTTTAGATATTAGAACTTCCGTGTTTTGTTTCTGAGCAGTACAACTATTTCAGTTTGTTTTCAGTATTTTTCGAAATCTGGTAAAAAAATGTTGCTTCCTGCATTAATTTAGCGGCATACTATATCTTCTTTTAATTTTATGCTTAAGGAAGTTGTCGCTATCACTTAAATACATTTTTAATTATGAACGTTTCCAAATGAATAGAGCATTTGCTCAAATATTGTCACCTAGTCATACAAAACCGAACCTTAGCAATTTTATTCTACAGGACTTATTGCAAGTTTATATACTGATTTTCTCAAAAAGTAAGCGACGCATCATCATTCTGTCCGTTTACAATTGCGTTTTCAAAACATATCCTTCGAAGACTTTTGCGACATTTATTTCTAATCCCGTTAATAGCACAAAACTTTCACAATTCCCCTTACGTAAAAAGCTCGGAGTTGTAGTCTGGAAACACTTATAGTAAATGAAACAGTAGAACAGACGGAAGACTATTTTGAAGTATACAGACTTCATCAAAACCAAAACGACCCCATTTTCTAGTTAAACAAATGCGAAAGATATGGTTTGCTACCAAATATGTAAAAGAAAAAAGCTTCAAGCACCTTTTCCTTGAAATATTTTTCAATTCAAGAGGACGCGTGCAGTCACTCGTTATCGAATCCAAATTTTAGGCATCGCAAAAAGAAACGAATTTTTAAGCAGGCACCCGGACATTGTGTCCAGAGAATGTGTTATAACTCCACAAAATTATTTCTTTATAAACAAAAATTCATCATAGATGTTGTGTCAGTATTTCCCCAACTACATCATCTACGTTCAAAAACTTCCTCAAAGAAATCAACAAGTTGTAGGCCCCGAGAAACAACGCTTTTCTCGATTTTGATTTTTTCACGTATTTTATTCCTTATTTCAGTAAGAAATTTTAATTGTTAAAGACATCGGTCTTATATAGGTAAATAATTTTAGGCCTCTCAATTTCTGCAAGTGAACTGCATAAATGCGTTACCCACAACTGCTTTGGTTGGATTTGCAGACATCTGCTTATCCTGCGTGCGCTCATAAAATATGTTCGCATATGTGTAAACTGTGGGCATCGTGCGTTACAGCAGGTTTGAGTTTGTGTGAGCAATTTGTCAACCAGATCTCAGTATTTTTTCCCGATGATGCACAGTTTAACCACGATCCGGCAGTACTATCCTAAATGTGAATGTACATAATCTTTTGTCTTTTGCTCATATGCCTACGAAGGCCTGTATATTGTAAGAGATTAACGTAACCGGGTTCCGTCTCCTCTTTTTTTCCAGCAATTGGCAGAGGATCTTAAAATGGGCTTATTGCGAGTCCTCTGTTTTCATTAATTGCGTAACAATCAAAGGCGTTTAGACAGCCTTTTGCCTGCTTAGCCATCAACAGACTGAAAAATCCTGTGTAATTTTAGATTTGATTTAACGAGCACCTCTCCCCCGCCAGCCGAAAAGATGCTTTCTGAACATGCCTTTGTTTTCGCGCTAAAGTTACGGTTGTTGATCGATACTCTCTGAAAGTACCTGCATTAGGCGTTCATGCCCTAGGACTCATATAACAGTTTCGACCTTAACACAGCCTGGCGGGGTGAGTCCTATGCTGGTAGCAGTCTGCGCGTAATGTGGGTAGCGAAAATGTACTGGCTTGAGGCCTTCTGCACTCATTCATAGCCTAAGACGAGGGTAGACATCGTTTGAGCAAACATCATATCATCAGAAATCGGCATATGTCTTGCTTTTGCTGTGGGAAAACAGCTGCGCTTATTGAGAAATTGCTGCACTTCACATGCAGCATTCAGACTGCATAACGGACAATACGCTTTCAGACCTGATACTCAGATATGAAGCTCTGGCTTACTGGATTGATTGACTGCATTCTGCTTGGGGTCAACTGTAACGGTCTGTGTATTTTGATTCACCAAGTCTAATATACATATTAAGATTCCATTTTTTCAGCATGCATATTTGACGGCAGTTATTACTGTGCCCCACTGTAATGACAAACAAAAGCAATATTTATAGACATGGAATTTTTTGCGCAATTAGTTTCATTATTTGATAATCTTAGAAGATTCTAGTTCTTCTGAACTTAGCTCACGAACAAGAAGAATCCTGATTTTTGAGTAAATGAAAAATTTCCATTCACTTCCGTTTACATAG